GGGATTGGATAGGCCAGAATTTTCAGAATTTCTAGATTCCTGGAGAGAATTGTAAAACTGAAATTTAGGTAGAAATAAGAGAAACAACTATGTGTTTAATGCTTTTTTCATCTCCAACTAAAATCTTTTTCTATCTTTATCAAAGCAAGCAGTTTCAAAGATTAATAAAATCAATATATATGGCAAAAAATATGTAAAACAAATTATAATATAAAAACTTGACAATTGTAAAGGAAAAATACAGTAAAGAATTAAAAGCGGAAATGAACACAATCCTGATTGATTTTAGATTGAACATTTTTTAGATTATAAAGTATCTTACTTCTGAAGATACTTCTGTATATCACCTTGTTTCTGATTTTGAAATTTCATTTTGATACAAGGATTCTTCCCTATGTGTACATGACTTCTTGAAAGCTGAAGCAACTGTTTTGTTTCAAATATCTAATAACTGTTTCAATAGACTTTCTCTTCATACTATAAAGTTGAGCTATTATTATAGGTCTGTAAATAGATATGAACTGAGTGTTGATCCCAAACTAATGCCTCCCATTTTTTGGGGGGCTCATAACAAATGTTGGTCGTAGAGGTTGAACCTGCCTGCTAATAATTCCAAATTTTTTTTTTGCTTTGTTACGGATAGTGGCTGAGCAGCAGTCTGGCAAAATGGCATTTGACATGATTGTAGCATTGTCAAGGATTATTAATTTTTGACTAGTATTTCTTCTTGGGATATGCAGGAAGTTTAACAGTTACTGGCACAGAAAGTGGAATCAGGGAGCAGAGTTCTCATTCCAGCCAAATTGGTTGTATTGACTTTTTGCATGAAACCATTTCTTCTCCCCCAGAAATGGGTTAAATAACAGAATAGACCAGACTCTCTAACTTTGGGTGGCAACTAGTTGAAAAGAAGTAAAACTCTGAATCCAAAACCATGTAGAAGACAATAGGGAACCACTCAACTGTTTTTCCGAAGAAGTCGTGACAATTCACAATAATTAAAAAAAGAAACAACAAAAAAACAAAAGAATCTGTGGAGAGCCATGATTGCCTATGTTCTAAATGGAGAAAGATTACTCTGAATTCAAAACCGTGGGGAATGCAACTGAAAACCACTCCACTATCTTTCCCAAGAAGTCATGGCATTTCAATAATAAAGAAAAGAAAAAGAATCTTCAGAGAGTTATGATCACCTATTTATACAGTTAGTATAATAGATAAAAAAGATTTAACCTTTCTTCTATATTCTTACTTGTCACAGGAATTTATTTTTATTGCATCTTCAGAAATCGCCCCACACAAAAAAAATTATTAAGACATCTACTTTGTATCAGGCACCTAAGTGTACTAAAAGAATATTAAGCTAAAAACTTATGCTTATAGTCTCTTCTGATCTAGACACTCATGTGGATGTCATGCATGACATCCAACCCATTCAGAAGTATCTAAGCTATCACCTATAAGAACTAGAGTGATGTTTATAAATAGCCTTGTCTGATCTAGACTCATGTACAGTGTCCAGCTTGTTCAAAAATGTCCAAACTATCAGCTATATACAACTGTTTTCTCAAATCAATGATTAAAATGGCTTCAAGTGAATAAATCCTCTAAGATTTTGAAGAAAATAATACTTCATCAGATGTTAATTAGCACTACAGAATCAGAAAGAAAGAACTTTATCAAACAAAAACTACATCACATGAAGACTTCCAACAACAGCAATAATTAAAATGGATAGCACATTTAACTAGAAGGGAAAATAATAATATAATCAATATGTTAACTTTCTATAGACAAAAGGTTACAAAGGAAGCTCCCATCAATATTAGAAAGAGTGATAACAATGAACTTGAGAAGCTTATTTTCCTGAAAAATTGTTTTAAGGCAAAGATTTTATAAGTTTCAACCAGACACTAACTGCTCAGTCCATGAAAATTTAATGATTCCAGTAGGAAAAAGCTAATCATACCTTTGCTATTAACATAGTGTTTCTAATTATAACATAGACATGTCTAATTATAACATTGCTTGCATAGTGTTTAAATTTTATAAATATGTGGGTATTCTAGATAGACCATAAGTAGGAGAGTATTCTAGTTATAGACAATAAATTGGAGAGTAATCTAGATCATAAATAGGAGAGTAACAGAAAGTTCCTAACAGAAAATAAATTACAAGAGAAACTGATGAAATCTCCTCTATGATATCTAGACTATGAATTTAAGTGCATTACTAGATTGGCAGCAAATTCTTGTCATTTTACAGTTGAAATGGCTACATGTAACCATAAGTTCTATGCTAACAGTTTCTTTTCTCGCACTTCTTGCTTATGGAACTCTCCTCCACCTCCTTACTTTCCAGTCAAGTTTGATATTCAAAAATTTAAATACAATGTCAATCATTATCTTCTGTTTTCTTAATTTCAGTCCTTTAAATACTTTTCCTATATTTTCTCACACTCAGTAACCCCTTGCATCTTAGTGGCTTTGTTGCCTTGCTTGGGGTAAATTGACTAGAAAAAAAAAAAGCATATGTTAATCATTAGAATAGTTCTTCACATTACTTTTTTTCAAAGATCTGAGACCCTTGAAGACTGATGAAGCAGATAAAATCTAAACTATCTTTAAGTATGGTAATATCAGAGAATCTTGTTTTATTTTCATCTTGTAGGCAGTAACAGCTTTGAGACCAGGTTGGCTATAAGAGAAGCATGTTACATGAAACTGAAATATACAAGATCTGATCAAAAAATATTGGGACTGGTGCTATAAAAAAAAACAAAAAAAACAAAAAAAAAACTACAATATATATCAATTCAACATTTAATCTCCTTTGAAGTAGTCACCTTCTGAAGTGACAGACTAATCCGGAATTGTTTCCATTGATGCAAGCATTCCTGGAACTCCTTTTTTGGTATAGTGAGCAGCTGCCTTGTCGCATTCTCTTGGATTTCCTCTTCAAAAATCAAACCCCACTTGAAAAGAACAAGCTTTAGGATTTTTCAGAATTTGGGATAAGAGATTGTAAGTGTAATGTTTAATTATTTATTACATTACAATTCATTGTTACAACTTTTCTTCAATAACTAACTTTTAAATTGTCAGTAATGACAATGCAACTGATATTTTTCATTAGTAATTGTAAGAATGCTAAATGATTTCAAATTACTTAATGTCAATTTGTATTTCTTTTATTTGAAGAGGAAAATCTCATTGAAATAAAAGAGGCTTTTGTTCACATATGCAAGGTTGAATAAATAAAAATTCCATGAATTTAATCTGAAACTGAAATCTTTCCAGATTACTTTTGCAGATTGGTAAGAATTTTAAGAAAACTGGAAGGTCTTATATTGGAAGTAAAAAAGGATTACTTTGAAAAAGGAAAAACTTAGGAAATAAATAAATGCAAAAAACAGGAGATAAAGAATAAGAAAAAGACCTTTTTGCTCTGTCTTCATACATATACACATTATATTAGGCAAATGAATGACAAAGAGGAAAAAATTCTGTTATATGTTTCGTCCTTTAGAAGGACTTCATTAGCTGAGAGAATTATATATACGTAGGAGGCAGAGAAATAAAATCGCGAGTGTTAGTTACAATTATGTACCAAGAGCAAACGCTGAAGTTGTGTGTGTGTGTGTGAGGGGGGGGATTAATTTAAAAAATTCAAATTTCAATGTCCTCACGTCCCACTATCGACAAGGTAGATAAAGACCTTAAAGAGGTAAAATTTAAAGGGAACTTTATGCAGCATAAGTTCATTTTGTTATTATTGAATATATAATAAAACCTTTCAAGAAGAGAAAGTTCCTCTGGCCCAAAGTGAGCATATATATATATATATATATATAAATATAAAAGTGAACATAGAAGTCAACACTTAGAGGCGACAGTCTGTTTCATGCTATATGCAATCGTCAGGCCACGTATCTTTATATATATATATATATATATATATATTATTAATTAAAGAATGTCAAACACTTAAAATCCCATAGGTAATAACTATTATTTAATGAGAGCTCTAAAAAAACAGAAGCTCTCTATCTTCAAAACCTACAAACAAATCACAAATGAAATCGAAAAAATATATTCCGGGTTAAAAACAAGAGATATTGTTTTTTAGAAAGTGGGGGAAAGGCTTAGAGTGTTGACCTATTTTGACATACTGACCTCAGTATGTCATAAAGTGTGAATCTGAAACAATCTTGTCTTTCAGATTCATACTTTATGACATACTGAGGTCAGTATTTGAAGATTGAGAGCTCCTGTTTTTTTAGAGCTCTCATGAAATAAAAATTATTACCTATGGGATTTTAAGTGTTTGATATTCTTTAATTAATAATAATTTTGCTCTGTCTTTTGACATAGAGCTCTCTCTGGATCTATATCCTCCTGGAAATTTCATATGAATTACCATATATATATATATATATGAATTTCAATAGATTGAACTTTACTTCAAAACTTTTATTTTAAATAAGATTATTTCTTCTTAGTCTAGTTTCTAATAATAAACCTAACTTTTCAAACACTTTACACAGACATATAAATTACAAGGTTTGATGCTACTTGAATAAAGTCAACACACATAATCACAGGTAATCTACATGAATAATTGAAAACCAAGGTTTCACCTGAAATACTTTACCTGATTAAACCCAAAGAAAAATAAATAAGTTAGAATATTGAAACTTTAACTAATTCAAACAAAACTATAAGTACTACTTTTTAGGTATTAATTTATTCTAAAATCACTTTGTAGTAAAATAGGTTGAAATAATATAAAAATATGTTAATGAAGTGGTAACTACAAATATTTTTGCTTTTTGTTGCTTTACTAGTAGAGAAAGCAATTGGGCTGATGAAGGAAGGTGGCAAACTGGGGAGATGACAAAGGCATTAAGTGTGCAATAATAGCAACAGACAACATATAATAGTAATTACATGTGAAAACTTTTAAAAAAAAAAAGAAGAGGAGGAGGAAATAGAACTTACCGTGATCAAAATAAAACTTATGAAAATCCATTCCAACAATCAGGTTTCTCAAAGCTTCTGGTTCAAAACTTGTTACATGTGGATCGACAAATCTTCTGCAAAAGAGAAGAAAACAAAAATACAATCGAAAAAGGTGAAAATATGAGATTCAAGTCAAGTCAGGTAGAAATATCTTGCTTTTTTTTTTTAAGTTTTAATTTCTGTCTGAATTTCTGGGATGAGGAGTTATCATTATTTATACTATTTACATTTGGACTATTATCCTCATCTTTGTTATTGTTATCACCAGATTGACTTCTGTCTGAATTTCTGGGATCATTATTTATACTATTTACATTTAAACTATTGTCCTTGACTTTCTTGCAGCTGTTGTGACCTCCGGCATTCATCAGGTTCGTGTATCAGAACAGACTAGGTCCTATAGCCTTGGGTGGCAACCAGTTTAGGAGAAGAAAAAACTGAATTTAAAACCAGCCTAAAGAGGGTTGGGATCTGTTAGGTTATCATACCCAGTATCTGTGGTGCCGTTATGACCCCTAATGGATTATGGTTCTCGTGATCGTGAGGAGAAGAGATGGATTCATGCCTTCCCATAGGACATTAGTATGAAGTGAACACCAAATTGTCATAGCCGGAGTATGTCAATTTCATTTTCTTGCTGCTAACCAGTGAGCCAACTGTACATCTCTCTTAAGTTAAAATAATAAAAAAATGGTAAAACTAAAAAGTAAGAACCAAATTTAACAAAATGGATTGATGAGGCTAATAGAGTTCATTGCCACACCATAATATTATTAATAATTAATTTTAATCAGCTGATATTAACAATTAGTATTAAATGTATAAGTTGCCAAGATATATTCTCTGAAGTTTTAAGTTAGGACATACTTAAAGAGAAACTATTACAGAAGCATGATATAAAGAGACAGCATCTAATTAGACCTGACAATTACTCAATTTATTTAAAAAAAAAAAAAAAAAAAAAAAAAGAAAGAAGCAAGAAAAATAATTACACAAACTTAGACTTGACAATTACTTAAATAAAAATAAAGCAAGAAAAATAACTACACAATCATTCACAATGCCTTTAAAAGCATTTGAGTTGTCAGGTTTTGAAAGAAGGTGTTGTATTGATCAATTCAAAGGTTAAATGAGTCATCACTCTATTGAGAAAAATCGATGTTTCCTTGTTAACTGTGTGATCAGGCAATTTATTTATGAAGTAATGGAAATCTCTGTCTTATTCAGATTGAATTGGGCTATCAGAATGAATTCTTCTTGCAATGGGATGAAAAAAATGAAAAAAAGAAAATTCCCACTGCAAGGTGATAGGTGGATGTCCAAATGAGTCCAAGAACAGCAACATGGTATCTTTATTACATGGGCTATTATTACAAAACAGCCAATAATAACAAACTATGTAACATTCAGCAGAAAAAGCAGCGGGCAATTGAGACAGTGGACAGATCCTTAAAGAGTTGATATACTGCCATCTTTGAAAATCAGTCTTGTTTGGTTAGGTTTGAACATCAGATGGGGTATTTATTCTATGCACCCACTCTAATGGAATATGACATAAGGCCGAGTCTAAAGTCTGAGTCTCATGAGTACATAGGACCAGAGATTGTAAATAGTCTTGTCCTCTCTGCATTTCCTTTTTGGAGATGCCTCAGGTACCAGGGATTAACCATAGCCCTCCCACAGAGAAGTACTGTCAAGGAGGACTGTCTTTATTGTATATACTTGTGTATAAGATGACTTCATTTATATTGCGACCCCTAAATTTTTGGCATAAATTTTGACCCCTCCAGAAAAAAATTTACCTGTATATAGTGTAACTGGTCACTGAAAAAGCATGATTTTTAATCTCTTCAAAAAAATTACGTGCATAAAACTGATAATAAAATCTCACACTTTACTTGAGTATAAGTGGTTGGTTGTTTTTATTTAGCAGCATATCAACCTCTATAGGTCATTTAATGCTGAAAACTAAATATTTTGTATGCAATTTTATATTTTTATTTATTCATTTTTTTTTTGAGATAATGGTTTTAGTAATACAAGTTTTATTAATTAAGAGAGAAAGTAAAAGAGAGTTATTACATAAAACATTTTTAACAGATACCTGTATTTGAATAAAACGTTCCATTTTTTAAACAATGTTTATTTCGTCTACCTGCCTGCTTATTCAAAAGAATTTAATAGAAAAAATGTGCCCTCTAGCAGGATGTCCCCCTTCGTAGGAGGAACTACTGTCTGATCTGGTATGCTTTGACTGCCTCACAGACAAGGAAGGTTCTATTTGCTTTAAATTTGTGGGTTCAACATTATCTACTTTGTTGACAAGATCAGATAAAATTACACACATATATATATATATATATATATATATATATATATATATATATATAATAGATATAAAACTATTTGATCTAGTGTGCTTTAGAGCACTCGGCCATGGAGACTCTCACAGCTAAGCAAGGTTCAATTTGCCTTTAAGGACATCTTCTCACATTTTTTCTTGAAAGGCATATCTGCTCAGTTTCATATCCAAAATGTAAACAAAGCAATTTTTAAATAGTTAATGGATTTTTATTCCAATATCATTTTTAGTGGATACCTGTATTTGAGTAGAATTTCCCATTATTTTAAACCGTGTTTATTTCATCCACCAGCCTGTGCATTTGAGAAAATTTGCACACTGTTTAAAAAATGGAATGTTCTACTGAATTACTGGTATACACTAAAAATCCATAAACTCTCTCTCTCTCTCTATATATATATATATATATATATATATATATATATATACAGGATGTCCTCCCAAAAACTGACATCGTTTTTGAGTTTAATAACATAGCAAATTCTCACTCAAATGATTTCAAATTTGAACAAAATGTGTAAAAACTAAATTGATTGTGTAAACTTATCTCAATGAGAATCTACCAGGAAGATGTATTGGGCATGCCAGTGATAATGACAATGTGCTGTTGAAATGGCCACCACATCCATCTGACTTGACACTTTGTGTGTTTTTTTTTTTTTCTATGGGGCAATGTGAAAAGACAGGTCTATATCTCCTATCTGCCTACAAGACTAGAGGAACTTAAGCAAAGAATCACTGAGGTATTGGAGAATGTTATGCAAGACATGCTACAGCAGGAGCCAGACTACCGACTTGATGTGTGTCATGTAAGAGGTAGTGAATATAGTGAAACTTTGTGAAATCAGTTATAAAATCTACACCTCTTTGAATATCTCATTTGTATTTTGATAAATAAATTGTTCAACATGAAACCTATTTAATTTTGTTTGCCTGTTACTCAGATATTCATATTTTAAATGACGTCAGTTGTCAATTTTGGGGACACACACACACTATATATATATATATATATATATATAAGGCATGGTAGAGCAATGGATAATGGCTTGGATTGAGGAATCGGAGAGCCGAGTTCAAATTCCAGTCAAATCCATTACAATCACTTACGTGGTAATATCCTTGGGAAAGGTATGAATCCTCTTCTCCCTCCAGCTATGGGTAAATGGTAGGACAGACTGGGTTCTATAGCCTTGGATGGCAACTGGTCTAGGAGGAGGACAACTCTGAATTCAAAATCTGCGGAGGCTCGTTTGGGAATCTTGTGGCATGTAGTGCACCAGGTCCTTCAAAAAATGTGGTTGATTCTGCACAAAGCCTTCACCACTATAATCAAATCATATGTGCTGGTGTCTGGGCTGTTGGTTCCTAGGAACTGAGCTGCTTGACCCTCATGCATTGAATATGATGGGAGAACCCTATATATATATATATATATATATATATATATATATATATATATATATGAGTTTTGAAGGATCTCCAGAACCATACATGATTAACCCAATCTTTTTTTTTTTTTTTTTTCAATTTTTTGGGGACACCCAGTATGTGTGTATATATCAAGTTATTAGGAGATCGCATAACTTATGTTATGACTGGGGCCATCTTTTCATAGGAATTAACTTTGTTAAGCATTTTTTTGCCCTATCTAGGCAATCTAGACTTTGAGCACTTTACTGAGTAGGTAGGGTTGCTTTTAGGGCTTTTTTCTTTTTCAGTATTGTTGTTTTTATCTTGATAAGGGTTTTAGATTTTGGCAAGTTGTCTGTTGGTTCCATCAATGGTAACTATACATGATTCCCCCAAGCTTTTGATTTTTTTTCTGGAATCATTGTTAAGGAAAGGAACAGGTGGCAAAGGTCTGCTTCACAATTTGCTATATATATATATATATATATATATATGGATGTACATTGTGTTTTAAATATGTTAATATATCTGCAGTAATAAGTGTTAGCTGTTTTTTTTTTATTTATTATTAAGATGAAAAGCTTTGGAGATTAACAAAGTGACAAAGAGAAGTTCAAAATATCTACATACGTGTAACCTTCAAAGTCACCACTTGTAATGGCAGCAATCAGTTGCTCAGTCAGTTTGATAATCTCTTGTTTACGACCTGTGGATAGTAAAGAGATTTATGTAGCCAAATGGGAAACTAATGTCAGAATGGAAGTCAAAGGTAGATTTCATGACATACAAAAATAATGCAAATTTAAATAAAGAAGCAAAAAAAGATATGTAAAAACAGTGCTTTACTTACTAAAAGATGGCAACTAGTATGGATGACAAAAAAAATCAAGACATTAATACAATCTGTCAGAAGTTATGAAATAAGCTGAAGAGTGAGCAAGTCAAAATGAATTGGTTAAAATGAAAGGGAGGAAAACAAGAGGAGGTCAGAAATTTTCGGGAAGAGCTGAAATGAAAAGGTGATAATAGTCATAAAATAATAATGTTCTTTTTTTTGTTTTCCTGATTAAAATATATCCAGATTTCTTTGTGATTTGTGCTTTACATTAAGTGTCCTAACATGAATCTGACAAAATTAATTTTAAATTCCCTTTGGGATATTTTGTTTGCAAGTGATGATGGTAAATATGAAATTAAAAATAGAAAAAAAATGTTTTAATTTGAAATTCTTACATTCTCACAGTTCAAAGTAATATTTTAAATGTGATTTTATAAACAAAGTTTTAAATGCAGTACTTTAAATGTAATCATATAAATGATATTTTAAATGCAATATTTTAAATGTGATCTTATAAATGATATTTTAAATGCAATATTTTAAATGTGATCTTATAAATGATATTTTAAATGCAATATTTTAAATGTGATCTTATAAATGATATTTTAAATACAATACTTTAAATATCATCTTAATATTGTTTTAATCTCTGATTTGTGTCAGAGGACAAAAAATTCTCTCACTCTAAAATTTCACTGATATCAGCATCAGCAAATTTCTTTTGTTCACTGATATCAGCAGAGTTCTTTTGTTGGACATAGACCTTCCTCAAGGACTGTTGTTATATGATTAAGATATAAAGAGTGATGAACCTTAACCTGTCATCCTGACATGATTTGTTGGCACCATCTTTACAATGTAGATCATGCTCAATGCAGCCCTAAACTTTTTCCCTAAATGAAAGCTTTTTGATTACATCAGTTAAAAAGAAGGTTGCTTTCTTAAAACTTTGAACATTAAAACCATTTTCTTTGATTGTCAGATGTGATAAATAATATATCAATGAATATTCCTTTGTTGGAAATTTTGGTTTACTTTCAGTTTAAAAATGATATCTATTTTCTTTATCTGACTCCAAATTACTGTTGGATGTAAATTACTATTCAGTTATGAGGCCATATATCTTAAGTTATCTAAAATTTTTAAATGTAAACCTTTTTAATATGACTTTGATAAGCGGAAATTAAAATCAACATATGTGACTTGTTGGAATTCTTTAAAGCCTGAGAATGTATAATGACCAAGGTGTTGCAGTAAAATAAAATAAAGCAACAAAAATAATAGATTTTAAGGTTTTTCCATTTTGAAATATTAAAAAAAAATTAAATGACTAAAATGTATGATCAAAATAAGCAACTGAAAGTTTTAGGAAACTTGTAAGAAAGGTCAAAGTTGAAGTTGCCTGAAATTTTGTTAAAAAGGTAGAAATATTTTTAATTTTCTTTAAAGATGAAGCATTGTGAATTATTATCAATTTATGACTAGTATTTCTTTCTTCTGAATTCCAGTTGTTTTTTATCACAACTAATAATTTTTTCCTTCTACTTGTCAAAGATAGATAATAATTGATGATGCTTCATTTGATAATGAAACTCAAGTTAATATTACTATGAATACAACTTGTGTATGTAAACAAACAACAATGATGATAGCACAAGACATTTGGCGAAAATACAGAATAAAGCATAAAACTATATCTCAGTACTCTTTTCCTTTCATAGCTCAATTGGTAGAGCAGGCACCATGCTAAAAGAGGCTTCCCCAGAAGAAAAAGGGATGTAAATTTGAACCTTGCAAAATGGTTATTTTTTTTTTTCTTGTCTGTGCTCTTTATTTACAGCTAGAGAAAAACAGTCTGTGTTGTGATAAAAAGCAATTGAAATTATGATGAAAGCAATACTAGTGACATTTAACAATAACTATTGAAGCTGGTTTGATTACATTTAGCAACAGGTGTTTCATTTAAAGCAAAACAACAACACATATGTGAGAAAGAAAAAATAATGAAATGTGGCAAGATAGATGGTTATTTGAAGAAAAGTATTAATGAATAATTATGAATATGAAAAAGAAAAATGAGATAAAATGGTATGCTGAAATGAAAGAAAAAATAGTTAGGAACAAGAAAGAATAATGAAGACCCACAGCCAAGAAAAAAAGATGAATAAGTTGAAATAAATGGTCTTTGAGGTGATGCCAACTTGTGTTTATGATGAGGTATATTGGACAGTTTTCTTATAATGATGTTTGAGAAATCTTTGAAATGTATTATGAAAAAAAAAAGTTGGGAATATGGTAACAGCATTATATAAACCTTAAAATCAAACAAAATTAAACCTATTTACACAGTGGATATTTGACTTGGGTATCATTTACAAATAAACTTTTATTATATTAACAAGTTTCTTGAGTCACTTGGTTTCAACTTAAAACTCACTCATTTCTCACATGGTCAGTTTTATAGTATTGATTTGTTTATATGGCTTGTCAACCTTTTGCAGGTTATTTAAAGCCAGAAATTTTAGATTGTAAGAATTTTTTGGAGATAATGATTTACTGATACAAGTTCTACTAATTAACCCATAGCTGGGGAAGAAGAAATGGATTCATACTTTTCCCAAGGGTATTTGCATCTATGTGTATATAACAAATCTAATTTCCAATTCCAAGTTGTTATCCATTACACCCCTTGCACATCCAAGTTTACAACAGCTGGTATATCTGATCAGTCACTCATCTAGGTACTGGCCAGGTTTGATGTTGCTTAATTTCAGTGATTATATAAGAACTGGTGTTTCAATGTGATATGGTTGTAAACCTGTTTTATAATAAATGATCTAAACAATATGATGATTAATGTTATGCTAACAAAATAATTTCACAAAATATTTCCTCCTATTCAGTTCCAAAGCCCAGTTTAGCAGCGAATGAAGAAACAGGAATTCTTTGAGGACGATTTCAAGGTAATGTATTTTTTACAGAATTATAGGAAAAAGAAATCATGAAAGAAGTATACATGCAAATGAAACCAACTATAAAAAGAAAATTCAAAAATAAGAATGAATTACATAATTATAACTTATGAGAAGTATTTCCAAAAAGTAATGAGAAGGAAACATAAAAAAGTACCACCAAAGAAAGAAAAATTAAAATGTATATTGTAGGAGAAAGAAATGCAGAGATTTTTTTTAAAAAATGACAGAAAAAAAAAAAAACAGTCAAGATTTGAATTAATATCATGTTATAAAAGATTATATTCAGTGACTTATTTTTAGGTTTTTCTCTTTATAAAAAAAAAATGGAAAGAATTAACACAGATGAAAATGAAACAATGTCTGAACATTTCAGAAAAATACTTTAGATTTTAATGATTTGTTTTCATTAGCAACAATCGTAAACTCTTTTCAGAAATATTGTATCATCTTATAATTCTGTTTTCCCCCTCCTGTAGTTAGCACAACCATTAGGCACCATTTTGAAATCTCATGAAAACAACAAAATGAGAGAAAAAAAAAAAAAAAGATGACTTATATACATATACTGGAATGTACTCAACAAACACAAACTAAATTGAGAGATTGATATAAGATAAAAGTATAAATCTCACAGATTTTAAAAGAATAGAAAATTTGTTTACTGTGAATCTTCATTAGGTGTGTAAAGAATTTTATTAACTGAAGTATAACCTTTCCCTGGATTCAAATGCAAACCACAGGTAATAGATATTAGATCACTACCAAAGTTTCCATCAGGTACACCATGGAATCATGTTCAATGTAACATCTAGACTGAAACATTGACATTTTTAACATGAAATATTGTTGATTATTATTAGTCTTCCATATTTTTTCTTTCATTTTAATCTTATTTGCTTTATATAGCAACTCATAAATATTCTATGATCCTAAGTCAGGTGCTCAGATTGAGGAATTGGAAAGCATTGTTTGAATTCCACTCAAATACATTACATTCACTTACCTGCTAATACCCTTGGAAAGGTATAAATCTCCACCTCACCAGCTATGGGTAAATAGCAGGACAGACCGGGTTCTATAGACTTGGATGGCAACTGGTCTACTGCAGGAAGAAATGGCAACCTACTGCAGGAAAAAAAATCTGCCTCTTCATTCATGTATAGAAAGATACATGATTGCCTAAGCATGTATCATGCATGGCACATAACTAACTGACTGATCCTAAGTCAGCAGTGTGGATCAGAAAGTTTGATTAGACTTAAACTAGCATGTAGGCCTTTGTAACCTAATTGGTAAGGCAGCTGCCATAGGCATGCCACTGGAGATAAAAAGCAACTGAAATTAAGATGAAAGAAACATAAGTAAAAACTAATAAGGACGACTAAATTGATTGAAATTGATCACATAAGCAAGTGAGATATATAATTGATGGGATGGCCAAGAAAAATAGACAAAAAGATTTAAAAAAATAGAAAGATAATTGAATAAATAGACAACCTAAATCATATAAAACTCACTAGAACTTACTTGGATTAAAGAATGATATCAACATTATGTAGAAATTAGAAAATCTTAACATATACACATAATGGTATATAAAAAATATAAAAGCTGTCTGTAGCATAAATACAATTTCATCCGAGAAAAAAATTCAAATTTATTTTGCTTGCAATAATAATAAAATCATGCTAGAGAAAGATATCAAGTGAAATTTAAAAAAAGGGTTGAGATGAGTGAGATAAAAAAAAAAATAGAAATCGAATTATTTCAAGAAAAGAAATTAAAAAAATAAATCACAGTAGTCTCCCCTTTGTCCACAAGCGGGGAATGTTTCAATAACCCCAGCAGAAGCCTACAACTGTTGATAGTACTAAACACTAAGCGTGTGTGTGTGTGTATATATATATATATATATATATATATATATATATATATATATATATATATAGATATAGATAGACAATAAGTTTAATTTATAAATTATACACAGTAATTGATGAAAAATAACGAATAATAAAATAGAACAGTTATAACAATATACTGCAATAAAAGTTATGTGATGGACAGAAGGCTTTCTTATCATAGATCTTATTAGACACAATAACAGATTAACAATAACTAATAATATAACAGAACAATTATAACAACAAACTAATAAAAATCTTGTGATGGATAGAAAATTTGTTCTACCCATAGATCACAATAAGAGATGAACAATATCTATTAATAAAATAAAACAATTATAACAATGTACCTTAATAATGGATAGAAGGTTTGTTCTTACCGTAGACCTTATTAGACACAATAAAAGATTAACAACAAAAACTAATAATAAAGAAGAATAATTATAACAATATATTTTAATAAAACAGAAATCAGGCGATGAATAAAAGAATTATTCTTACTAAAGATTTTAGTAACATCAACATGATTTTTTTTTTATTTTCCTTATTAAGAGCTTTCATCTTTTCATTTAAAAGAAACACTTCACAGCTTTTCTTTGGCATTTCCAAACTTAAATTTAGGACCATTAAGTAAAACTTTCAGAGGATTGCTGTGGGTGGTTGAAACCATGGATAAGAGGTGACCACTGTACTATATCCCCCCAAAATTTATTCATGCTTAACCTTCAGGCAAGAGAAAATATTTCAAAGTACAAAGTGATAAAATTTTATAAGAGTATTGCAACCCTTACGAATTGTAAGCCTAAGCATGCTGAATGAGAATTCATCATTGGCCAATTGAGATTTAAAAAAAGAAAAATGAACCATGCTGATTACCCAATAACACCTGTGATTATCCATGCTTACTTAATCTATTCTTCTCTCCCTCTCACTTACAATGGCATCCCTGGGATTCATGCTACAAAGTTATCTAATTAATATATCAAACCTGTGTGCCTGGCTAAGTAAAGCTTACTAACTAATTACCATATGAGGTAAAGTCAAGGTAAATAATATTTAGTTAATTATAATATATGCTCATTAGATATATGGTTTTAACTTTTCTCTATTTATTACATTAGATGTTAGGTAAAAATAAAATTATGAAGCATGTAAATTTATTCTGAAATAGGTATTTTTAAGCTGCATTTAAGGCCTGAATTTCCAGGTTGAGATTTTATTATTTACAGTTGGAGTTGTTATTATAACAATGTTTCAGCCATTGTACCCTCCGACCTTCTTCAATTGAATTTCTGGGATGGAGAGTTATTATGTTATTATTTACATTCAGGGTATTGTCCTCATTTTTTTTTATTATTACAATGTTTCAGCTATTGTGTCCTCTGGCCTTTTTCAGCTGTCTATTGATCTGGGTAAACATCATGAAAACACCTGAAGAAGGCTGAAGGGTACAATGGCTGAAACATTGTGATAATAAAAAAATGAGGACAGTAGATTGAATGTAAGCATGAAGGTTACCCAGATCATCAGATAACTGAAGATGGCCAGATGGCACAATGGCCGAAACATTGGGATAATACAAAAGAGGACAATAGTTTGAATGTAAATAATGACAACTCTTAAATACTAAAATTCTAATCTTGTATGTATGCATGTATGTGTTTCCAAGATACATCTTAAACAATACAAAATACCCTAACCAAATTAGAATTGAACCTCTGCTGATTGCAGTGCCAAATTTCATTAAAATTAGACAAGGGCTTCTTGAGCTAAAGTTGTTTTTCTGGCATTTTTAATAGGAAATTCGGTATTTGTTTTTGAAACACTGTCTTATATCAATCAGTTATCTTTCTTACATAACCTCATTAATGGCACAGTAACCATCTACTTTGAGTGGCTCTTGGGCCTTGTATTGAATGATCATTATTAAAAAAGAAAAAAAAATTAATTCTAGGATTATTAGAAGACTTGTATGACAAACAGATAATGATCATTATTAAAAAAGGAAAAAAATTAATTCTAGGATTATTAGAAGACTTGTATGACAAACAGATAATGATCATTATTAAAAAAGAAAAAAAATTAATTCTAGGATTATTAGAAGACTTGTATGACAAACAGATAATGATCATTATTAAAAGAAAAAAATTAATTCTAGGATTATTAGAAGACTTGTATGACAAACAGATAATGATCATTATTAAAAAAAAAAAAAATTAATTCTAGGATTATTAGAAGACTTGTATGATGAACAGATAATGATCATTATTAAAAAAGGAAAAAAATTAATTCTAGGATTATTAGAAGACTTGTATGACAAACAGATAATGATCATTATTAAAAAAGAAAAAAAATTAATTCTAGGATTATTAGAAGACTTGTATGACAAACAGATAATGATCATTATTAAAAAAGAAAAAAAATTAATTCTAGGATTATTAGAAGACTTGTATGACAAACAGGTAATGATCATTATTAAAAAAAAAAAAAAAATTAATTTAGGATTATTAGAAGACTTGTATGACAAACAGATAATGATCATTATTAAAAAAAGAAAAAAAAATTAATTCTAGGATTATTAGAAGACTTGTATGACAAACAGATAATGATCATTATTAAAAAAGGAAAAAAATTAATTCTAGGATTATTAGAAGACTTGTATGACAAACAGGTAATGATCATTATTAAAAAAGGAAAAAAATTAATTCTAGGATTATTAGAAGACTTGTATGACAAACAGGTAATGATCATTATTAAAAAAGAAAAAAAAATAATTCTAGGATTATTAGAAGACTTGTATGATGAACAGAGGTAGTTAGGTATTTATAATGTACCCAAGTCTAATTGATGTAGTAGATGTTAGATGATTTTTGGAGGAGTGCTTAAAAAACAAAAACACATTGCCTTATTTTTCATAGTTGAAAATAAAAGACAAAAGATGCAATATTGTTTTTCTAACCAATAAAAATAATTTTTCAGTATGAAATTTTAAAAGGAAACGGCAAATTAATCAATGAGGTTAAAAAAAATAGAAAGGTTCTTGAGAGAGAGAAATTTCTTTAAGACTCAAAGATGCTATTTATGAAATGACTGATACTGTCCAAAAGAGTTGGTCAACAAGGAACTGTACTTGTAGCTGATTTTCATACCTGATGAGATATTTTTACATGTTTTAAAGAAAACTTTCAACTAAAATAATCCTCTTGATATAGCAGCAAGCACAAATAAACACAGCTACAGAAGAAATAATTTAACAAACTAGAAAAGGTAAATATGAAAATCACCTTGAATACAACAGATAGCTTGATTAATATTATTCAGTCCCCACCCCACAAAAAAAATGTTATTTCTCTAGAGTAGGAAGAAAACATTGTTTGAATGATGATAGTTGTAAACCAATGTTTATTTTTTTGCTTTTATTTTTAAATATTTCTTTTATTTTTTTTTGAAAACGTATGGATTATTATTTTTATGAATATGTTTTATAACTTTGTAAAGATTTAATGTTAAATGTTAATGAAAGTGTGAACTATAATTTTAGCAGAAAATATATTCAAAATAAGTCACTCAAAGCAAATGTAAGACAAAGGTTTTGAACAACTAATATGCACAATCATTCTATTTATTGAAGGTCAGAGTTCAATTTGATAGATTTCTTCTTGTAACATTATAGATTATTATATACTTGTACAACATACCTCTGAATTTTTTGTAATATTTTGGAACTTGTATAAAACAGGGAAGGTTAAAAGTGGGGAATTTTTTTTTTTTTGGTAATGCAAAGAGTCCAAGACAGAATTGAAAGAGAGAGAGAGAGAAGAGAGTAGAAAAAGGAATAAAAAAAAAAAAGACTGAACACAAGTCAGAATTCAGGAAAATAGAAGCAAAATACCATGCTGCAGGCAGAAGAAAGAATAGTAAATCCCCCACAAAAATGAATAATATACAAACACATACACACACACACATACATGTATGCATGTATAAACTTATATGAGTGAATAAGTGAGTGTGTGTATGTGTGTCTATGGGTATGTAATTTTGTGTGCAAGTGAAAGATCCAGAGAGAGGAAGAGGATATGTGTGTAGAGAGGAATATAAGTTTATTATATAAGAGTGGATCAGTAAGTTTTACAAATTAGCTATGATTTTATGAGATTTTCTCTGCATAATATGATTAATATTCACCACTGAATTATATGCAGTTACAAAAAAGAAAAAAAAAGATTATATTCAGAAATATTTATGTAAAGTACATAGATTTTGGCAATGTTTAAACTTCATGCCCACAAAAAAAAAAAGCATATCAAAAGGACAGTTATTCTCTTGACACTGTTTTTGCTGTAAATACATTTTGCTCCCTTAGCAATGTTTATTTAAAAAATTATAAAAAATATGTGAACCAAGTACAATGTAATATTTATTATCTATCATTTTATAAAGAAATAAATTTGAAAAGATCTTTTTATTCATTAATTTATAAAATAAAATTACAGAATTATCAAAATATATATATCAACTACAATGCAATATTTATTATTTACCATTTTATAAATAACTATGAAATAAAATTGTTTATTCAATCTAATATATAAAGTGTTTAATATCTTCATTGTCAATTCTCAAGAATAAAAAAAATGTATAAATTTACTTTTTTATATGTTTAAGTTTTATTAAAATTCTAATCATAGCTTTTTAAAACAAAAAAAAAACATTACTGATTGAGTCAAAAGTGTATACAGTAATAGGGGTGTGAAGGGACCAACTGTCCTTTGACACTTTTTTTGGTGAGCAGAAAAATTAGACATTGCTGTTTTTTATTTATCATTAAGCTTTAGACTTATAGATGTATGTCTATGTGTATGCAGAAAAATTAATCAATATTTATAAAGATTAGATTTTTATAACAATACATTTAAAAAATTTATTTTTTTAAAAATATTTTACAACTAATATTTTAATCTTACCTAATGTAATTTAATCAAACCAATTTTAAAATTACATTAAAATTAGGATTAGAGTAGTATTTATAAAATTATATTGGGAAAATTTAGGTGAGTGGTTGTTTGTGTAGGAATGTATACGTATTTGGTTGTTCAATGTTTATATATATATATATATATATATATATATATATATATATGTTATAGATAAGATTTAAAAAGAGAGAGAAGGAAATCACTCGTGCAGGAGCAAAATCTTGAAGAAACAGTGTTGACCCAGTCAGTAACAAGAAATTCAAAACACCAAACAATATTCTGAAGAACTCGCACATCAAACATCTACTTTACTGAATCAAGCCCAAATCTCTTCAATGCAAAATATCTGCATTTAAAAAAAAAATGTAACATTTATTTATAATTTCAAATAGGATCTAAGGGAGGTAAATCAGATTGAAGTGCAGTCAAGTAGATAAAACTAAGAATTTTAGCCTGTTTGCTTAGGAGTGTGATTTAAAAAAAAAAAAAAGAAGATTTTTTTCCTTTTTCATTCTCTAGTTCTTCTGGCAATTATGATATTTCGATTAAAACTCTTTGGTATTTTTGAATGCTTATAGAATGTGCAGCTGAACATTTTTCAAGAATGTTCAGACTACACTCTAATACAAATGTAAGATTTAAGATATTTCAACAGGCACTCTCGGAATGTTATGTTGCACAGAATTTCTTTTATTCTTTTTGCATTTTGTTTCAACTTCCAAATTTTAATTCTAAAACATTCTGCTTTATGCTGTTTAATTAACAGAATAATTACAAAATGACATTGTAGAATCAAAATCAAGAGAAATAGTCACATTTTCTACTTCTACTGAATAGAAGTTGCAAAGCAAGAGAAATGAAAAAATACTAACTAAAAATTAATAATAATTGACAATGATTCCTCTAAGAGGGTTTAGCCAGCAGGAGTCATTTAAATTTAGCTATATTTTCTACTTCTTCTGTATGGGAATTGCAATGAAAAGCAATAAAATTAAGATGAAATACTAGTAAAAATTAATAACAGTTTATTGTGAAGAATTGTAACCAACACAGGTTTTTGTTTTTCTTTTTTACTAAAAAGTTGCAAAAATGCTTATTTTAGGTCTATGTTATCTTCTCATTCAATTATTACACATATGAAATCATGTCTAGAGTGGTGACAGTTACAGATTTTTTTATTTATCAAGAAAACTGGCATTTTAATATAAAAAAAAAGCAAAACAGACAAATTCTGTTCAGCTTAGACACTATAATAAATATTTAAGCTTAAATAACTAAAATCAATCATGTAAGGGTTCTCATATCTTAAATAAATGTTTTTAGCCTTACTGCTATTACATCTTTCTATATAAGTAGCTATAACATTACCAGCAGAACTAGGACATGTATGAAAAGTGTCAAATTAGAAAAAATACCTTTAGATCATAGAAGAAATAGCCTGAACTTGAATATTAATTTGTTTAAAATAATAATCACCTGAAATGAAATACATATATCGTAATAATAAGTATATAAGAGAGAGAAGTTTTGATTCAGTGAGATATTGATTTAAAATGAGTTTTTAGAATATTGAATGCGTGATGAGAAACTGTTTCTGTCTGGTTGAGAGGCGTGTAAAAGGTCGTAGTAGTAATGAGAGATATAGAGACAGTTCTAAAAACTCACAGCAGAATTGGCCGTCTTTTGAACTAGTGGACAGATTCACCAGACTAGTCATACTCATAGTCCGAGAACTTTTTTCATCATGCAATAGAATTCCTTTCTTTGCTTGAAACAATGAAAAAAAAAAAGAGAGAGAGAAATACACAAGAAGTATAACTAAGTAACTATCCCCTACATTCCCTTAACCTCCCTTGAACAGGAATAGTTTTCTGGGGATATTTTTTTTTTTTTTAAAGAACAGGAAGGTGAAAACAACTGGGAATTTTTTTTCAAGAAAACAGAAATCAAAACACACCAGTGCTACCATTCAGTAAATTTAAAAGTGTGTTTATGCATATAAAAAAAAAAACAGAACATTATGATATATGGGAAAGCTGAAACAAAAAAATATATATATATACACATAGAAGGAAAGGAAGGGTATTTAAAATGTAAATGTAACAGATCATGAAGAAAGATAGTGTGAAAAAAAATGAAAAGAAAAAGATTCAAGAATAGTAAGGAATTTAAAAAAAATTTAGACCAATGAAATATTTGTCTATATGAATAAAAGTGTTCACAAAGGTGGGTGCGTGTGTATATATATATATATATATATATATATATATACACACACACATATATAAAATTGTGTAAAAATTCAGTTTGGCCATTGTGAATGACATCACCTTTACAAAAAATTAAAAACATCCAATCGAAGAAATAATTTATTACCTCAAAAATCCACCCTATATAAAGGATGCTAAAAAATTCTTGACTCAACCCAGTTTCCATTATATGACCAAATGATCAAACATTATACATTTTTTTTAAGTACTTCTTGGTTGGGCCAAGAACTTTTCAGCACCCACTCATGAATGTAAATAATATTTATTTTACCATTATGAAGAGAGAGAGAGAGAGACATTCTTTTTGTTGTCCACTTCTCAGCAGAACAGCAAGAAATACACAAATTATGTTAACTATTTCTGAGAGTAAAGCATAATAAACAAGGTGTTGAAAAGTTCTTGACCCTTGGAAAAAAAATCTGATGTGTTGTCATTTAGTTAAATTTTGGGTAGTTGGCAAGGCTGAGAACTTTCCAGTAATGCTGTGTAAGACAATTATAATAATATACAAGTCTAATTGGTCAAAATAAAGGAATCATAGCTTATTTTTTAAAAAAATAGAATCCAGTAAAGAAATAATGATATTGAAAGATCAACTATTGTGTAATATTTAGTTTCACTGAGATAGTATTTGTGGAATGAGTTTGATCTTCATTGGCTGTGAGATTAAATTGATATTAGTTTGTTATCTTGTCTTAATTCTTGTTATTTTATTGTTACCGTCCCTTAATAATGCTTTCTTTTACTCATATTATTTCACATTCAGTAACCTTTGCAACTTAGAGGATTTGCTTGGGGAGGGGTAAATAATAATAATAATAATAATAATAATAAAAAAACAAATACAATTAATGTCAGAATTTTTAATTCACATCCAAAATAAATCTTTCCATTTGAGTTGATATTTTGAATAAGAACTATTCAGGAATAATAGTTTATACAGAGAAAATTATTTTTATCAATTCATTTTCTATGGCTTATCAACTATTTGAAGATTATTTAAAGTTAGAAAATATTTTTAAAGTGAAAGATTTTTTTTTTGAGATAATAATGATTTAATGATACAAGTTTTACTAATTAAACTATGGCTGGTGAAGAAGAGGTAGTTCATACCTTTCCCATGGGTATTTGTGCGTAAGTGAAACTACTAAACCTGACTGGAATTGGCTCTATGTTTAACAATTCTGAGCCATTATCCATTACGCCAACCACTTATCCAAGCTTACAGCATCTGCTATTATTCCCAACCAGTCACCCATTTAATTACTCAATGTTGCTTAACTTTGGTGACTGTATGGGAAACAGCATTGAAAATGATTTTGCCATAACAAATTTAAGTGCATGTTTATCGTACAGTCAACATTTTATCTATTCTATACTTGGCACCCAAATTGGTAAAAGAGGCGACAAAACAGAAAATTGTATTTCTGACATCAGCTATAATAAAATGGATGACAATAAAATGGAAAATTAGCAGCTTTAAAAATCTTGGAATTAATAATGATGCATTGTTCTAAAATAAATATTTTATGCCAAAGTACTGATTGGTACGATTGAAAAACATTTAAAAACTAGCTATCTTGCTAATAATAAAAGTTGACGATTGATTGTTCTGTCATTAAAAAAAAAAAAAGAAATCTTAATTTTATATCTCAGATTTACACAGTATCGTAAAAAATTATTTTTCTGCTTTACATTCATTGGATGGGTTAATTTTTTTGAAATTTGTTTTAGTTATATAGAAACATAAGTTAAAAGGTAACAATCATTAGAATATCTACATTGAAGAGATCCAAATGTATGTTCCAATTTATTTTATGTCACAATTTTCCTATATTAACACTAACAGTAATTGTATTAGGAAGCAAGCAGAAAAACATTTTACACACACACCCACATATTGCTGAAATAAAGAAAGTGGTATTAGTTTTTATGACAAGTAAAAATTATAATGAAAACAATAGGCAACTATAGGGAAAAATAAGTTCAGGTTTATTCCATATGAAAGCAATAAAAAAGAAAATTTAAATTAGTTCAATATAAAGCAACAATACATACAATACATACAATAGCTGTGACTATTGGAATCGAAAATGATAAGTAAAACGTAAGAGTTACTTCCCCTGGATAACTTTAAAAAAAAATCCTTCTTACAATATGTTAAAAAAAACAACAAAAAACGATTAGATTCCGATATGGACTATTGTGAGAACTTAAAAAAATGGAGAGAGGTTAATCCTTTAAAAAACAATGATAACAGTGTTAATAAAAATGGATGCACACGGCAGGACCAATATAGCAGTAGCATCAAACACGACATTAATACTGCTTTTTTTTTCTTTTTTTTTTAAAAAGAAAGAAAAGATGAATAAAAATTTAAAAAATAGTGATGTTTTTGAATAATACAAAAAAATATAAAACAGGCATAACATAAGCGAAATCTACATCCTACAGCATCTGCAGCATCCCAAACAGAAAAGGAAAAGGAAAAAAAAAAAAAAAAAAAAAAAAAAAAAAAAAAAAAAAAAAAAAGGGAAAAAAAAAAGAAAGAAAGAAAGTAGCCACACACTGAAACTATCAGTGACTAAATAAACCTGCTGCTCTAAGCTGCCAACATTTGAAGGGAAATTTTCTCAAACAAGCATGATGCCCACACCGTCACATCTTACCTTGACAATCTTTTTTTTTTTTTTTTGGCTTTTTAGTCAAGGAAAGCTACCTAATACATCAACAGACAAATTTTAAGAGCCATGCAAACAATTCACTAATAAAAAAAAAAAAAAAAAAAGAGATGATGATGATGACCATGTTTTTTTTCTTTTTTTTTTTTATATCGCCTCATTTTTAAAAAATATTTGTTCCATAATTGCATTTTTTTTTTTTTTTGCATACACATTTCATTGAAATAGATATCATTTTAATTTCTGTCCCATAATAATTATGATACAGATAATAATATAGGAAAGAAATAGTATTTGTTTTTATTCAGAAACAATATTTTGCTATATAGGTTTATTTTTGTTGGGTAGGGGGGAATTTTTTAATCAATATTCCTATTCAAGAATTATTAATAAAGAGGAAATTTTAAGTGTTATAACTTCACAAACCCATATCCTCCTGGCATCAATTTCTTTAAAAACGCCATCTTTTTATCCACATCTCTAAAAAAAAACTAAAGTATAAATTTTGAAAGTTGAAAATTTCCAAGTTTTTTTTACTGAAATAAAAAGATTTGAACTTTGAGTAAAATGTAAAAATGGTCACAATAAGAAAAAAATTTTTTTAAAATAACACTAAAAAGAAGATATGAGTTTAAAAATACTGATAGTTATATATTGCACTAAAACTAAAAATTATTGGTTAAAGAAACTGAGTTTTTAAACAATAAATTTAGTTTAACTTATGAATTTATATAACATTATTCTCAACATGTTTTGTCTTTTTTTTTTGTTTTTTTTTTTAACATCACGGCGGTAATAAAGTCTCAGGAAAAAAAAAAGGTTACAATTTTGTTTGGCTAAAGAAGGCTTAACAACTATCCAACCTCTAAAGAACATTTTCTAACAATTCTACAGTCACAGATTCGATGATAGTTGTAGAAGTCCTAAGTATCCTATAAGACCCGACTATGTGAAGAAAGCTTTTTAATTTTATTTTAAGAAGGGTGTTTTTTTTTTTTTAATTCGCACCAAAACGTAAACAAACCACACGGCGATTGTACGAAAAAGCCGTAAAAAACGTTTTCTAACAATGCTACGGTTCACAAATTCGAAACATTTCAGAGTTAGGCAATCCGAGCATCACATAAAAAGACCCAACTTTATGTAAAGAAAGCCTCAATTTGGCATTTAAAATTTTGATTAAAAGTTACTTGAATTTTCAATTTATTTATGAGATTGTTGTGTCCTATTTTTTCTTTTTTTCCTATGACTTTTTTTTTTTTTTTTACCTGGGTTCTTTGTTTTAAACATGATTAATAAATCTTCCAGTTTGTAGGTAAAAAACAGTGTTTTTCAGATTTTCTAGTACAGTTGCGGTGTAATCCCCGCGCTCAGTTTTTAATAAAGATTTCGAGAATAGTTACATTTAGATGTAAATTTACATGCTTAATTTGAAAATAACAATGGAATTTTGCTAAAATCTACCGTTTTGGAGTTATCAACAATAAAATTTCGGACTCATTCGCGTCGGGTCTGTCCGCCATTACTGACATTGTTTGCATACGCTTGCCTGGATAAATCATGCGCGGAAGCTTACTTAGTTTTACTTTTTACTGATGTTACTTGTTTTAATTGCTGCGCAAAAACAAAAGAAGTCTTCAGACACTTTTGAAAGAGAAGCTTATATTGAATTTTCTTTGGTAAATTTAAGTTATTTAGAAAAGCAATGAAGTGTTGTTTTGTTATAGTGAAGCTGTAATAAATAATTAAATGAATTCCTGATTAAATAATAATAAAATAAAACAATAAAATTAAATACAGTGTGACCCGGATATAA